AAGAAACTGATTTCATCAACAAATTTAACTCTAAAAAAAGAAAATGCAAGGAGTCAGATTAGCAACTTGGAGTGGAAATTGGAAATGGATAAAAATTTATATATATATATCTTATCATTTTATTCTTACTCTTATCATTTATTCTTGCTATATTTTATATATTTATAAAAAAAAATTTTTTACATTTTTTACAAGTTATTTTGTTAAATAACTTCAAAATTGGATTCAAACTCAAAATCTGTCATGGCTGATATTTTAATTTTGTATGAACAACACCTTGATGAAATTGGAGGGACTTGTACAAATGGGTGTTGAAATATTCAATCCAGATTCATTAATAACAAGATTGTGTTTTAATGATATTGATAGAGAACTGCAACTTCACTCAGAAAGAGCAATGTCAGCAAAATTAACTTGTTGTGCATTTGAATTGATCATATTGATTTACAATGAATTTTGTCATAATAATCTTCCGTTTGAATTGATGCATTTAAGGTTGCTTGCCAAAATCTCTTAGTGACTGTCAAAACTCTGTCAAAACTCTCATGAACAATTACTATATACCTTGTCAAAACTCTGATGATTGACAAAACCCCAAATGCCAAAGCTCTAATTATCAATTAATCTGTAACCTGTCGAAACTCTGTTGATTGATTTCTGGAGGAGTTTCACCCACAACCTTAGATGCATTAAAGAAGTCAAATAATATATTTAAAATGTCCAAAAAATACCAACAATAATAATATTAATATTACAACCATTGATGATGAAAATATAGGAGGCGAAAATGATAAAAGTGATGATGGTGATGATGATGGTGAAAGCGAAGGTATTCATAAATATGAAGCAATTAAAACAGAAAGTGAAACGGTTTAAAAAAATTGGTGATACAACACTTTGATTGGCTAATTTGAATTTCACGAACGCACGCACTTTTTTTTATTATATATTAATATCATTTTATTATACATTGTATATTTTTAAATGAATTTTTAGCAATGCTCCATTTATAATTTTTTAAAAAAATGAAATTAGAATCTCATGCAATTCCCATTTGTAGTTAGTTAGAAACAATTTTCTTCAATTTGCATCTTTAGGAAATTTAGAATTTGATGTTTTTTCAGATTCCTGTTGATCTTGTTAGTTTCTACAATACAACATTCAACAATTTCAAGTTTTGTCAGATTTCTAACAATCTGAAAAGCTTCTAAGAGTGTCCCTCCAATTTCATTAAGGTGTTGTTTATACAAAATTGAAATATCAGTCATAACAGATTTTGTCAACTTGAATCCAACTTTGATTAATTGTTGAAGTCATTCAAAATCATTTGTAGTTGGATAAACACAAACTTCATTTTTATGATTTGGATTGAATAGAATCAGCAAAGATCCTTGTAATACTAAATTATTGACATTTTTACATATATCATGGTAGCCAATTTGTTTCCAAAGTTCTACAATTTCAGGATAAATTAATATTGCTCTGGTAATTATGTACAGTTGCTTGTTGTTTTCAAATCAATTTTTGGCTGGATACTCTTTATGATTAAGTATTTGCATTTCTATTTGGTAATCAGTTGAGTCTTCAAATGGAGTTGTTGGTCTTGGAGGAAAGGGGACAAATTTTTTATTTAATATAAGATCCTTTTAATAAAATACATGAAATTTTATCACTATATAGCCTAGGTTTTTATTCTTTTTCATATAAAATTTGTTTTTATCTAGTACTTTATTAATTAAAAAAATATTTTTGATTTTTAAAATGTTTACAGTATTTGTTTTTTCCAAAAATTTACATGAAATATTTAAAATTATATAAAAGCCATAGTTTCAAAGAATAAAACATATGATTTTCAATACTTTAACATAGATTTTATTTAATGAATGAATTATTATTGTAGTCATCACTATTTATGGTTTGTCACACACAATTTATTGTCAAGGCTCTATCTTTCTGGACTTTACGGTAATACAATTTTCATATGAAGCAGTTGGAATTAAAACTCTGCATGAGCCAAACAAGCTAACTGGCTCTCAAGAAGCTTTAGTTGAAACTTTCTTTAGTCTAAGTAGCAAGCATTGTAAAATTAAAATTAAAATATTTGATCAATTTATTCTAGGTTTCTGATAAATTTTTTGCCACATTCGAGTACAAAATTTTTATTCCAATAGGATATCTTGAATGACCTTGTAATTCAACTTCATAACAAAATGCTTTTGTACATCCTGGATATTCACACTTGAATTTTTTTTACCATGAATTTTACTAGGTTGGTAAAGTGCTCTTGTTTTCCCAAGTGCCTTACCGCATCTTCAGAAATTTCATTGTCATTTTTATTTTATTGTAATTATAGTCTACACTGTCTATAACGGATTAAAAGTTTGGTCTATATTAATAATATTATTATTATTATGTGAAAATAAATTCGAAATTCGTGTCACATGAAGTTTTTTAAAATATCTCGATATTTTTATAATAAACTCGAATTTCGTTGTTAGAGTAAATGAAAGTCTCCATTAAAGCTTTCTAATGAATACTCTTTCATATCGAAAAATCTCCTCTACATGAATTCACGGCTATTCAAAATGGTATTACTTTTTCACTTAAAGCTCAGATTATTTCTCAATATCGCTTTAAAAGACTTGATAGTAAATGAGAAGATGTAGAATACTTTAAGCTTTAATGTGGTTATTACTTTGTGGGGGGTATCAAGGTTGGTGCCGAAAGTGTCGAAATAGGGTTTCTACACTTTAAGGAATTTGTCAAAAGTCGAAAGTGCTGAAAGTGCCAAAATTGACACAATTGTAATTAGTGTTGGTCGCCAAAACTATTTTGAAGAGGTGAAAGTCAAAACTAAAATTAAAAGTTATATGTCAAAACTAAATCAAAAGTCAATAGTCAAAAATCAAAACTAGTTTCGACTTATGGCGAAACCTTTTGACTTTCGCACGGTTGCGAAACTCTCGAGTTTTGGAAACCAACACTAATTGTAATTAAAATTAACCAATTGTTTTGTAAACTTTAAACTATTTATGTTTTTATGATTCAAGGTGTAAATAAACAAAAAAATTTTTCATCATGTCCAATTCTAATTCACCAATTCCTTCTCAATCATCATCATTATGCAATATGAATTTATAAACATTAAATCTAGATAATACATCTGAAAATTCATATAATAATCAAGAATTAATTCTGTAAACAATATTGCTAAAATCCATTCCTTTTATCTAAGAAATATTTAAAAAGAACTAGAATATACTGGTCAAACTTTAACAGGAAAGGATTTAAAGAGTATGTTGGTTGAAGCAGAAGTTATTTCAGATGATGAAGATGATGAAAGTAATGATGATGAAAGTAATAGTTATGTTGATGATGAAATTAATTTGACAGATTTAGAAATTCATGATATTATGGATTTGGAAAATAATTTTTTTTTAGAAGAGAATGATAAAATGGATGAGGATATGGATGAGGAAAGTGGTGATTACAGTGATGATAGTAATGAATTAGATTATGATAGATTAGGATTAGTTCAAGATTCAATGAATGAGGATTTATTTTCAGAAATAGTTAATGAAGGAGCATTTCAACAACCAGAAGAAAACCAACAATTATTACATGATTCTACAGGTTTTGAAGAAAGTTGTGAAACCAATGATGTATATAAAGTAATAATTTCTACTAAAACAAGAAGCAAGTACCCAATTGAGTAACATAATCTACGATATAAAAATGCTTAAAAATTTGTTTTAAATAATTCTATTATTTTTAAAATAAAATTTGAATTTATACTTTCATTAATTTCGACATTTTTCATCACCTTTGATGCTTTCATCACTTTTGTCACTTTCGGCAAAAGTACTTATCATTTGCCGAAATACTTTCTACCCTCCAAAATACTTTCGGCACCCAACCTTGGGGGTGTTGGTTAATAAGTTTTAGAGGGTTCACTAAAGTCTATTTTACAGAAATTTTTAATATTCGTGAAGAATTTTATGTAGGTGGGATTCAGCAAAAACTAAAAGGTATTTTATTAATGATTGTTTTATATTTCTGACTTTATATTGATTAAAGTTTCATTAATGATTGTTATGAATATCCATCAATCAGTAGTTGTTATAGTAACATTAAACAATAATGTGCAAACGACGACAACCAATCATCTTTTTTGAGGATTATAATAAAGATTAAGATCCAGTTTGTATAGGAGTGATCAAAGTAAGCGTTAAGGACAAGATTTATGAACAAAACATACTAACAAATGTTTTATCAATTATTCAATAGTTTGTGTAGGAGTAATCGAAGTAAGCCTTAAGGACAAGATCTATGAACAAAATATACTAACAATAGTTTGTGTAGGAGTAATCGAAGTAAGCCTTAAGGACAAGATCTATGAACAAAATATACCAACAATAGTTTGTATAGGAATGATCGAAGTAAACATTAAGGGAACAAAATATACTAACAAAAGTTTTATCAATTATTCAATGGTTTGTATAGGAGTGATCGGAGTAGCATTAAGTCAAGGTTTATGAACAAAACATACTAACGAATGTTTATCAATTATTCAATAGTTTGTGTAGGAGTAATCGAGTAAGCATTAAAACAACATCTATGAACAAAATATACCAACAATAGTTTGTATAGGAGTGATCGAAGTAAGCATTAAGGACAAGATCTATGAACAAAACATGCCAACAAACATTTTATCAATTATTCAATAGTTTGTATAGGAGTGATCGAAGTAAGCATTAAAGACAAGATCTATGAACAAAATATACCAACAATAGTTTGTATAGGAGTGATCGAAGTAAGCGTTAAAGACAAAATTTATGAACAAAATATACCAACAATAGTTTGTATAGGAGTGATCGAAGTAAGCATTAAGAACAAGATCTATGAACAAAATATACTAACAAACGTTTTATCAATTATTCAATAGTTTGTATAGAGTGATCGAAGTAAGGATTAAGGACAAGATATATAAAGCTTGCAAAGCAAGTTTCACAAAAATGAACGTTTTATCAATCATTCAATAGTTATGTTTATTATTTATTTTTGTATATAAATTTCTTTTTTATTTTAACTTATATTTAATAACATCACCATGATAAATAATTAAATGAATAAAATCAGAGATAAAACGCCTTTAATTCAATCATCATTGTTGCTTGTTTATTATTCTAATCATTATTTATGTATATAGGTAAAGAAAATTTAAATTCTATTTATTTATTATATTTACTTTTAAAATAAATGCTTATACTATAAGCGACATACCTAAATGATCAAAAATCTGTAAATATTCATAATAATGTAATATTTGGACGCTTATACTTGCAATTGGACGTGTCAAACAAAATTTTGCACATATGAATATAAAGGCAAAATTTGACTTTGAGGGTCAGATTATTTTCGGTTTTATTAACAACCTGCCTTAAAAATTTTCTTAAAGCAGATACATATGATAAATTATATCTCAAATTTGGTGGTGGTTGCTACACAGCAAGGGTATCAAACAAGGGTGTGAAGCATTCGATTATAAAATTTTACTATTTATATATATATGTTTTACAACTATAGATCGGCGGGAAATGTCCTGTGTGTTGCAAAAATTATTGGCCGGAAAAAAACTGTATTATTTAATAAAATCGAGGATTTTGCCATAAACCAACCAAAATCGTGAATTTGATAACGTAGAAATAAATATTAATATGGGTTTGATTCATTTTGTCAACAATCACTTCACCAGCAATTATTTCGTTAACGAATTTAAAAAGTTGGGGAGAGCGTGTTTTAATTGGTGATAATTATTTTTGTTTTGTGTGGATGAATAGGGATCGACGAATTGATTTTGGTATTAGCGAATAATTTTGTTTAAATATAAAGAAGATAACAGTTTAAATAAAATATATTTTTTTTTTTATTTGGTTTTCTTAGTCGAAACTAATTAACTTATGACAAAGTTACTTTTACATTAGGTCGAAATCAAGTTCTTTATATACATGTTCTTTACATATTAGCGATTTCGCCTAGTCTGAGATAATCGTCATTAATCTGTACTAATAAAGTTAAATAACAATAAATACGGATTAATTAAATTAACACGAATTCAGATAATAATAATTATGCACGTTATTAATAAATAAATTGAATTAATAAAAATAAATATAATAAAAATAAAATAATAATAGATTAAATAATAATAAAAATAAAAATAAAAATAGAAATAAAATTTAATTTGACCCGAAATTAAAGGATTCGGCCAAATTATCTTCGCCATCGTCTAATTCTGGTAACAGAAGCAACCATGCGGCAAACCATTGAAACAGTCTAATAAATTAAATCGTAATACTCGAAAATGTATTTAAAGGGTTGGTTTTTGACTTGGTTGAAGAATAACTCTCTTCCTAACTCTTTTCTCTTGATATAATCAAAATAACCTTAACATACCGAATGTCAATGAAATGATCGTAAACACAACGAAATTAAGATACATGATCGAGATGAAAAATGAACAACACATGAAAAATCAAACAAATATTACATAAAACAACACCTTCTGTTCACGTTACCCTCACTAAGTTGTTGTTCTCAGCTTCTTTCCATTTATTGCCTTTCAATTGACGAAATTTAGCTGATTTAATGGGTGCCTTCAAAAATTATTATATTGAGATTGAGGTTGGATTGAAATTGAAATTTTCAATCCATGATCAAAAATTATTATATCAAGATGATCGACAATTATTAATTAAAAATGGAATTTTTACGTCTCTTTTATTAATCATCAAAGAAATGAATTGGACCTTGAACTTACAAATACCAATGCTAATTATTTTAGCATTGATGTCTTTGTTTTTTGGGTACTTCAATATTTTCCATTTTTCTTTAAAAAAAATTTTTTTTATTTTTATTTTTATTTTTTATTTATTTATTTTGTTTATTTTTTTTCATATTAAAATTCGATCGCAATCTCAATATGGAAATAGAGAGTTGTTGAATTGAAAATAATTTTGTTCGATTGATAAATACAAACAGTTTATATATCAATCAAAAAAATAACTAACTCGCTTAAAGGGAAGAAGGATCACAATCAAAAATCACAATCGAAAAAAATGACTAATTCGCGAACGGAACAAAAACTTTGCAACGGCACATTCATTCATTGACCGAATGTGATTT